CTGGGTGGTATCCGGCCACGCACCTACATCTTCCACCCATTCCGTAATGCCACAGGGATCCGGGAGTCTGTTGCCATTCGTTAAAGTGAGTTTAATAATATAACATTCAAGATTTGCCGGTGATAACCCCGCAGCGTAGCTTGATAATGCCTGACACAACGCCATTCTCTGTCACCAAGCTGCGCGCGCATTCTCTCTGGCGTCATATTGTTTACAAACAGTAAAAGGGTCTATGGCTCCAGCTACACTAGAATAACCCAATATACCTGGCTGCCATCAAAATTAATCATCCCATAAAACTGGAATGGCTCTGCTCTGCCAGGCCCTGATTGGTCGGCCAACTCCCCTGAAATATTGCTGTTGTTGGAAACCAAGGTGAGGTCACTGCACCAGGCTCCTCAAACCAGATCACAGGCTAGTCTGAAAACATTCATTCTCTCTCACGGTTCTGTCTGTACTATCTGATTTCGGTCTACCTAGCATTCGAAGTGTTCAACATCAGAATCAGATTTTTTGCCATGTAGGTGAGAGGCTCATCTACTAGGAATTTGTTTAGGTGGCAAGGTGCAAACGTACACTCAAGTCAAGGTCAGGTCAGGCAGTATTTACATTAGGATACATCAAATAATCAAAAAAGAAACATGGCCAGAAAGCAATCATAAACGATTTGCTTTTTGTTAGCCCCGAGACTCTCTGCCTGTGTGTTGGGGTTTACCCCGGGGGACAAGAGGGTAGCTTCCTTGCGCCTTCGGGTCGGGGAACGGGTCCTGACTGTTGTTTGTGCTTATGGGCCAAATATCAGTTCAGAGTACCCACCCTTTTTGGAGTCCCTGGGACGAGTGCTAGATAGTGCTCCATCAGGGGACTCCATTGTCCTGCTGGGGGACTTCAATGCTCACGTGGGCAATGACAGCTTGACCTGGAGGGGTGTGATTGGGAGGAACGGCCCACCTAATCTGAACTCGAGCGGTGTTTTGTTATTGGACTTCTGTGCAAGCCGCAGTTTGGCCATAACGAACACCATGTTCGAACATAAGGATGCCCACCGGTACACTTGGTACCAGGGCAGCCTAGGTCACAGGTCGATGATAGATTTTGTAGTCGTATCATCTGACCTGCGGCCGTATGTTTTGGACACCCGAGTGAAGAGAGGGGCGGAGCTGTCAACTGATCACCACCTGGTGGTGAGTTGGATCAGATTTCAGGGGAACATGCCGCGTAGACCTGGCAGACCCAAACGCATAGTGAGGGTCTGCTGGGAACGCCTGGCAGAAGAACCTGTCAAGACGGTCTTCAACTCCCACCTCCGGCAGAGCTTTGACCACGTCCCGAGAGCAGTGGGGGACATTGAGTCCGAGTGGGCCTTGTTCCACTCTGCGATTGTTGAGGCGGCTGTTGCTAGCTGTGGTCGTAAGGTGGCCGGTGCCAGTCGTGGTGGCAACCCCCGTACCCGCTGGTGGACACCAGAGGTTCGGGGAGCCGTCAGGCTGAAGAAGGAGGCCTACAGGGCGTGGCTGGTCTGTGGGTCTCCGGAGGCAGCAGACAGGTACCGGATAGCCAAGCGGGGTGCAGCAGTGGCAGTTTCCGAGGCAAAATCTCGGGCGTGGGAGGAGTTTGGTGAGGCCATGGAGAAAGACTATCGATCGGCTCCAAAGAGGTTCTGGCAAACTGTCCGGCGCCTCAGGAGAGGAAGGCAGCAACTCGCTCACACTGTTTACAGTGGGGATGGGGAGCTGCTGACGTCAACTGAGGCTATAGTCGGACGGTGGAAGGAATACTTTGAGGAGCTCCTCAATCCCACCAATGCGCATTCCGAGGAGGAACCAGAGCTGGGAGGCCTGGGGATGGACTGTCCGATCTCGGGGGCAGAAGTTGCTGAGGTAGTCAAACAACTACACAGCGGCGGAGCCCCGGGGGCGGATGAGGCTCATCCTGGGTATCTCAAGGCTATGGATGTTGTAGGGCTGTCATGGTTGACACGTCTCTACAACATTGCTTGGTCATCGGGGGCAGTTCCTAGGGAGTGGCAGACCGGGGTGGTGGTCCCCATCTTTAAGAAGGGTGACCTGAGGGTGTGTTCCAACTATAGGGGGATCACACTCCTCAGCCTCCCTGGAAAGGTCTACGCCAAGGTACTGGAGAGGAGGGTCCGATCGATAGTTCAATCTCAGATAGAGGAGGAGCAATGTGGTTTTCGTCCTGGCCGTGGAACTGTGGACCAGCTCTATACCCTTGCAAGGGTGATGGAGGGGGCATGGGAGTTTGCCCAACCAATCCACATGTGCTTTGTGGATTTGGAGAAGGCTTATGACCGTGTCCCCAGGGGCACCCTGTGGGGGACGCTCCAGGAGTATGGGGTGGGTGGCTTTCTGTTAAGGGCCATTCAGTCCCTTTACCAGAGGAGCGTGAGTTTGGTCCGCATAGCCGGTAGTAAGTCGGACCTGTTCCCAGTGAGGGTTGGACTCCGCCAGGGCTGCCCTTTGTCACCGGTTCTGTTCATCACTTTTATGGACAGAATTTCTAGACGCAGCCGTGGTGTGGAGTGTGTCGAGTTTGGTGGCAGGAGAATCTCGTCTCTGCTTTTTGCGGATGATGTGGTCCTCCTAGCTTCATCCAGCTCTGACCTTCAGCTCTTGCTGGGTAGGTTCGCGGCCGAATGTGAAGCGGCTGGGATGAGGATCAGCACCTCCAAATCTGAGACCATGGTTCTCGACCGGAAAAGGGTGGCTTGCCACCTCCGGGTCGGGGGAGAGGTCCTACCTCAAGTGGAGGAGTTTAAGTATCTCGGGGTCTTGTTCACGAGTGAGGGTAGGAGGGATCGGGAGATCGACAGGCGGATTGGTTCGGCGTCTGCAGTGATGCGGACGCTGAGCCGATCTGTCGTGGTGAAGAGGGAGCTGAGCCAGAAGGCCAGGCTCTCGATTTACCGGTCGATCTACGTCCCAATCCTCACCTATGGTCATGAGCTTTGGGTAATGACCGAAAGAACGAGATCGCGGATACAAGCGGCCGAAATGAGTTTCCTCCGTAGGGTGGCCGGGCTCAGCCTTAGAGATAGGGTGAGGAGCTCGGACATTCGGGAGGGACTCGGAGTAGAACCGCTGCTCCTCCGGATCGAAAGGAGCCAGTTGAGGTGGTTTGGGCATCTGGTCAGGATGCCTCCTGGACGCCTCCCCGGGGAGGTGTTTCGGGCATGTCCTGCCGGCAGAAGGCCCCCGGGTCGACCCAGGACACGTTGGAGAGGTTACATCTCCAATCTGGTCCGGGAACGCCTTGGGGTCCTGCCGGAGGAGCTGGTGGACAAGGCCGGGGAGAGGACGGCCTGGAGCTCCCTAGTTGGGATGCTGCCCCCGCGACCCGGACCCGGATAAGCGGAGGAAGACGAAGACGAAGACGAAGCTATGAAAGTGGGCGTTGCCAGGAGGCACGGAGTGGCATGGCCATGTGTGGGGAATTTCCATCCTGGGAGGGGGAGGGGGAGGAGACTGTACCAATGACGTGAAATTGTTCCAGCCCCAGTCAATCGCAAATTTAAAATGCAGTAGCCGCTGTTCAACCCACAGGGGGCAGGACTAAGATGTTTTAAGACCTAGATTCTAGATTTAATCCAGTTTACACAAACAAGTCAAAAATGCACAGAAGGATTACATTAGTAAAGACCCAATTACACAGCTCATGAGCCAAAAAAGTTACTTTGGGTTTTAGTTACTCGTTAATCTGTTTACTCTGTGTTCCTGTGCCGCTTTGCACATGTCTGATTCCAGCAGATGCATGTGAATGCAATAGTTGGTCATGTGTCTTTGATGTGAATTATAGGTATTTTAAAATCATTCCCAGCACTAAGGACACGTTCACACCTGCATTCGTTCATACCGTCTAAATGTAAGCCTGGCTGAATTTTTCTCTCCATGCAGTTCCTCAGCAGGTGAGAAGACAGGAATCTCAACGGGACGAAGAACTAAAGAACCAGACTGAGACCCTTCAGGGGAGGTGTTTGTTGGGTATTTTTATAATTGTACCTTTTTGAGGCCTAAAAGATGGCCAACTGTTGCTGTTCATGAAAGGTAGAGCAAGGATGTTAATTGAGAAGACTCTGTACCTCTGCAACTTGAGAAGGTCCGCCTTCTCCCCCCACCCGTTGGTGAATAAAGCCCCTGAAGAACTGGAAGCACAGGGGGAGTGACGTGGGGAAGCCTCGGAGGAGGTTTCTCTGCGTTAACTCTCCGTGTTCTGGAGACTCAGGGTAAAATGTCTTCCTTGTTGTCATGTGTGTTTATTTCAGGTTCCAGGGTTATGGAGGTTAAATATTATCTACCAGATAATTGAAGAATGCAGGTATACAGAGAAAGGCTGAGGCTGGAGCAGAGTGGGGGCTGGTTGAGTCATGCACATGGACATTACAAATAATCAATTTACTCTCTCTCTCTCTCTATCAAAGGGTGTGTCGTCCTTTAAGGTAATATGGGATAAAATCAAATTACCTAACAGTGTTCTTGGTTTATTTATGGTGTGTAAACATCCTCCTGTAACCAGATGTGTGTTGCATTCTGGGATGCAGGAAACATAAACATCAATAGCTACGGAGTGGCTCCAAGCTAGCTGAAGATCCGTTACCGGAGACCGATATCTGGCTAGAGTGCTGAACTAGGTCATGATCAAGACACACAACCTTCAGGTAACCCCTCCCCCAGACAATCAGCAGGTGTAACCCTCTCAGCTGGTTAGTAGTAACATGTTATTTCATTTGTTGTGTTTGTTGTGTGTGACAAGAAACACACCACGGGAAAAACACATAAACTAGCTCAATTATGAAGTGAGGTGAACTTATGAAGCACCTTGTAAAAGTTAGGTTTATTTTCTTTACCAGTTATCCCAGTTAGAGTTTTTGTCGGGGTTATGGGTAACTGTTCTGTAAAACCTCTGTGGTTGATGTTTTACAAACTCTTGGGGTTTTCGTCATGATGTAAAAAATAAATAAACATAAGAAGCTTCTGTCCTACCTGCTGTCTTCTACCCTCTGAACTCCCCACAGGTCCAATCCGTCCTCAGTGAGAGTGCCAGTCTGTGGGACCAGAAACAACAAGCTGTACCAATCCAGGCTGTGAGAATGTGGATTTAGGCTCTTAAACTCATTTTCTGTATCGGAGCTCATTTCATTTCAAAACTTTATTAAACAGGAAAAGATTAAAAACAATCGGGCCTGACTCAGTTTTAAACTGCAGGTTCCTGTTCTGCAGAGCATCAAACTGCAACCTCACAAGCATACACACTAAAGCAACACGAAGCAATCATGCAAACACCCATGATCCAGAAAAGGCAGCAAGACGTTGCAACTCCACCTTCAGCAGTGTTTACAGGTGAAACCGTCCAACAGAGGGGAGATGAATTCTCGTTTGAACTGAGGTAATGTTGGTGCAGCCCTGATGCCATGGGGAGTTTCATTCCAAACTTTAGTCCATGCATAAAAGAACGACCTCTGGCCGTAAGAATTCCTAAAGGCAGGCAACGGCAAAGGTTCACTGGTGGCGGACCTAGTAAAGGTTGGTTTATGCTTGACGCGTCCGTGAGGTCCGCACGGCTCCGTGCGGAAAAGTTGCGTCATTTTGCATCATTTTAACAACCACGTCTCCGCACGGCCCAGAATTTCCGCAACGCGCACCAATTTCTAACCACGCGGACGGATGGACGCGGAAAAACATGGCGGACCGGCAAGAACTAGAATGGCAGAGGTTCGTAAACACAGACATTTGTATGATTCAGCTCTCAGAGATCACCGTGATCAACATGTTGTTAATAATTCTTGGAGAGAAATAGCTCGCACTGTCGGAAAAGACGAGGACGCTGTTAAAAATGCTGGAATGCCATGTTGTAAACAGTAATTTCTACTTCTACTACGGTGTAGTGTTGGATGCATGCCGTAGAGCTCCATGCTGCCCCCTACAGTTTGGGAGAATATTGGCTCACCGCAGAGACGAGCCGCATGAACCATAAACGCTGCGAGTTGCGAAGCGCGTTCCATCCGCGAGCCGCATCACCGCGCGGAAAGTGAATGCGTCAATCATAAACCAAGCTTAACTCGCATAGAGCGTACTACCCCTAGGATCCAATGCCTTTGGCAGCTTATTAATAGAAGGTGAAAATGCATCATGGGAAAAAAGATGGTGCTGTTTGGTGTTGGTATAACCTGTCAAGAGTTTAGCAACAACATGGATCCCAGCAGGAAACATGGGTCATAAACTCGGACCCAGAGTCATTTCTCATAATCCGTATTTATGCAGGAAATGTTTGATAATACTGGAAGTTCCCAGACCCAAAAGTAGAAGTTTTCCAGTTGTTGTTCAGTTAAAGGATAAACAATAAGTTTATTTACCACATAACATAAAACGTTCAGCTTCAAGGTTTTACTACAATAACATTCATTTGTTTTACTCAGTGAACAGAAACATTAAAACATTTACGCAATAAAGAGTTTAACTAAATGCTCTGAAGTCACAAGCAGCTGGATCTGGATTATGTACCATATCTGGGAGTAATAATGATATTTCATGAACATAAAAGTGTTGAACAGTGCATAATCACAACTCTGTCTGGAGAAATTAACCCCAACTCGGTCAACCGCGGTAAAACAACGAGAGAATCGGGCTACCTTGTCAAAGCAGACCAGGTTGAGCTGGCCACACATGTTGATCCTCTGGGGGCTGATGCAGAACACGCCAGCACGTTTCAGTCGTCGCTGAGCGTACACGACACCGGCGGTCATGGCTGCTGGTAGGGCCGGCGGGACGGTGATGGTGACGATGTCCAAAGATTCAATGATAATAGTTTTAGCTGGAACCTAAATAAAATCATAAAAAAACAGCGTAAAGTTGAGATTGGACGCGTTACAGATGATTTCCACCTCCTGGGAGAAAGCAGTGACACCTTGCTGATGATGCTGAGGACGATGGTGTAGATGAAGCCGATCCCGGCGACCCCAACCAGGCACAGAAGGAACAGGTAGGCATCTCGGTACAGCTTAAAGTCAGTGGGTTTCGGGTAGAGGATAGAGCGCACCAACTGGCCTTTTTCTGTGCTAAAACCTACAGAAACATCATTTTCCTGCTCAGATTGTCTTGTTTTCGTATTTGAAGGCTGAAAGAGTACAAGGGGGTCTCTGCTGGCCTCACCTGTTCGAACCACAACAGCCTTCACCAGTTCACCTGCATAATATCGGGTCTGGATAACACGAGTACCACAGAACAGTGTGTGTCTCTTATGTTCCTCCATGTTGTAACACCTGGCCGCCTCTTCACCTGTACTGGGCAGACTGGTTTTGGTCACTGGAACACTCTCGCCTGAAAGAATTTATTGAAAAGAAATAATAAAACAGGGTGAGGGAAATCGAATCTGCGAAACCGTAACTGATGTTCTCCCGGCAAGGCTACTGACAGAAGTTTTTTCTGTAGCGGGTGATCACGTACTGCAAATTGTAAATAGCAGCTTGATATCTGGGGAAGTCCCTACTCCCCTAAAGCAGGCGGTGGTGCGACCTCTGCTTAAGAAATCAGGATTGGACCCAACAATCTTGTCCAATTACAGACCTGAATCTACACTCCCTTTCATCTCAAAGATCATAGAGAGGGCTGTGTTTATCCAACTGACGTCTATTCTACAGGAATGGGGAATTGGAGAAGTATTTCAATCTGGGTTTGAACCCTTTCATAGCACTGAATCTGCACTGCTTAAGGTCCTTGATGACATTTTATTGGCTAATGGTTCCGGTGATGCTGTGGTTCTGCTGCTCTTGGACTTGACATCAGCCTTTGATACCATTGATCACAGTATCCTAATAAACCGGCTGGAGCGGTCTGTGGGCTTTACGGGCCAGGCACTTCAGTGGATACGATCTTACTTGACTGGGAGGAGTTTTTGTGTGAGGTTGGGGGACTGTTCCTCCGATCTGGCTGAGCTGCCTTGGGGAGTCCCCCAGGGATCGATTTTGACCCCACTATTATTCTCCTTATATCTCCTACCCCTGGGTGAACTAGTCCGTAAACATGACGTGTCATTCCATCTATATGCGGACGATTGCCAGGTCATTTTTCCAATTAGGCGTGGTGGTTTATGCACCGTTCAACCTCTGTTGGACTGCCTGGAGGACATCAAGCTATGGTTGGCTCAAAACTTCTTGTGTTTCAACGAACACAAGACTGAGGTAATTCTGTTTACGCCACCAAAGACCCTAGGAGGTGCTCAAGGGCTTGATTTTTCCCCTCTGGCACTGCATCAGAAGGCGGTGGTCACTAACTTAGGGGTAAAACTGGACGCAGAGCTCAGATTTGATGCTCAAGTGAACGGTATTGTGAGATCTTGTTTTTTCATCTACGCCACATTGCGAGAATTAAGCCTTTTCTGTCACATAGTCATTTGGAAACTGTAATCCATGCCTTTGTTACCTGCAGGCTGGATTATTGCAACTTGCTATATGCGGGGCTTAGGCAAGCTCCAATAGCACGCCTCCAGGCAGTTCAGAACTCGGCTGCTCGGTTGTTAACATCTACCAGGAGGTCTGAACATATTACACCAGTCCCACGTGCCTTGCATTGGCTCCTTGTCTTTTATCGCATCAGGTTTAAGGTCATCCTGTTTGTGTTTAAGGCGTTAAACTCAGGGGCTCCTAAATACCTTTCTGACATCATCCACCAACATGTCCCGGTGCGTTCCCTTAGGTCGGCTGACCAGAGTCTACTAACTGTGCCTAGGTACAGCCTGAAGTCTCGTGGGAGTCGTGCCTTTTCAGTACTTGGACCAAGTCTCTGGAATGAGCTGCCAGCTGATGTAAAGCAGGTCAAATCATTAGAAACCTTTAAAAGCAGACTAAACACATCTGTTCTCGCTGGCGTTTGGACATTGAAGTTGGGGAAAGTAGGCCGGATATGGATTGCGAACTTGCACTCAGGATTTCGTATTGTATTTTAAATGGATTTCTTAGTGTATTTCTAATGGATTGCTCATTGTATTTAAAATGGTTCTATGTCTGTCCTATTGTGGTGCTTTTTACTGGTGTACAGCGCTTTGTTTGTCCATTTTGGCCATGTGAAAGCACTTTATGAATAAAGTTGAATTGATTTGAAAATTTTTTTAAGCATTAGATCAAGACTAGATTAGTGCAACTGCATCAAATGTCTGTGGGACCCAGTCCTCCATTACTCACTACCAACTGGCTCAGATTTCTGCTGCTCACCTTCTCACAAATGCATCAAGGCACTGCCACATCACCCCCGTTCTCGCAACATTTTCAGCTTCCATTTTCCTTCAGAATCCATCCATTCATGCATTTTCATCTGCTTATCCAGGGTTGGGGCATGGGGGCCACAGCCTAAGCAGAGAGGCCTCTCCCCAGCCACTTACCCAGCTCCTTCACAGGAGGTCACTGCCGAGCTGAGATTAGATTTTAACATGTACTGTTTAACCATGAAATTTAAATGTAATTGGGTAAAAAAATATCCAAAACAAGAATACACACACACAGAGACTCAAAATCCCGGAGCAGTTTCCAAGCCAGACCGAGGCTCTACTGAGGCCTTTCCACGGAGCTAGCTCTGTGGTCACGTGGGTCTGATGCTCATTAATCATACAGAATTTTAGGCTTTTAATACACTTAAACAGAAGAGTTAGAAAAACATTCATCCCCCTCAGAGTTGTCATGAGTGTAAACTAGATCATTTAAACCAAAAACATGTTTTGGTACCAGGCTGTAAACATGTTTATTTCTGCTGTGAAAATTGGTATTTTTAACATGGGAGTCAATGAGGATTTGCTCGCTTCTGACACCAGCCCCTAGTGGATGAGGGTGGAACATGGAATATGTGCTACATATTAAGCATTTTCAGGGCAGAGTATTGTTCCTGTTAGTGTTTAGTGTGAGATGATAGTAAATATTCCCTTTCTTTCTCCAACAACTTTACCTGATAAGCTAACTTTAGGCAAACCAGCAGCACAACAAATATTTTCTAATAAGACTCACAAACCTGAGTCAGCACCAGTCTCATCAAAGCTGGGGTTCTGTCGCGGTACTATGGGTCTAAAAAACGTCCTTATGTCCATCTTCACTCATGCGTTTCAGGCAGAGACTGCAGAAGAAGCCGGCTGCTGAAGGGCTTCTTCTTCAGTGGTGGAGGCTCAGGCAGGCTGTATACAAACTACTGCCAGCTGCTCCCCCTCTGCTGGACTTTGGTACTGCATGTTACTTCCATGATTTAGATCCAGGGCTTTTCATTAAACATCCGGGGCTTCAGCCCAAGTAGCCGGGCCTACCGCCACCCCTGATCTGCAACATCAAACCCCCCCCCCCCCCCCCCCCCCCCCCAAGGTCCTCAGCACTGGTGAAACTTCCAACCCTCACACTTCCTCATTGGCACCAAAACCTTCAGCCTCAATCCAGACTGCAGAACAACATTCTCCGCGTCTGTCAGGATGCTGAATGCTGGGACATGTTGTTTTGTGAACGATAAAGGCTTGTGTCCCAGTCCACAAGTCTCACAACAAAGAAAAACACGAGTTCACGACCAGTTCCAACAACGATTACAAAGATAGAAAATACTTGGCAGGGTGGAAGATCGAGTGAAGTCACCTGCTGATGTCACCTGATGCACCCTATACCTGTCCGTCGAAGACCTCGTGTCTACACTGGAGGGTTTGTGTGATTTCTCTATAGGGGAAACTCCACCTTCCAAAAGTGAAGCCTATGTGGAAGTGACAAGATTTTAGTTCCTTCCTCATCCGCTAGGGGCTGGCTCCTGCAGGAAGCAAGTTGCCATTGACTCCCATGTTAAAAATACCAACTTCACAGCAGAAACATACATGATTACAGACTTGTTCAAAAACCATTTGGGGTTTAATAGATCTTGTTTCCGACTTCGGGAGTATGGGGTACCAGGCCCTCTGATACGGGCTGGTAGGTCCCTGTGTAAACGGTGTCAGAGCTTGGTCCGCATTGCCAGCAGTAAGTCGGTGAGAGTTGGACTCCGCCAAGGCTGCCCTTTATCACCGATTCTCTTCATAACTTTTATGGACTGGATTTCTAGGCGCAACCGAGGTGTTGAGGGGATCCATTTTTGTGGCCTAAGGACTGAGTCTCTGCTTTTTGCAGATGATGTGGTCCTGTTTAATTAATCATAACGTGATCTCCAGCTCTGTTTGGAGAGGTTCGCAGCCGAGTGTGAAGTGGCTGGAATGACAATCAGCTCCTCTAAATCCGAGACCATGGTCTTTTGTCAGAAAAAGGGGAGAAGATCTTCTCAGAGTCATGAATGAAGTCCTGCCCCAAGTGGAGGAGTTTTGAGTTTTTAGGGTCTTGTTCCTTTCAACCACATGAAGTTATGCAGTGTGATCTACAGTGATGTTAGCTGAGGTCTTTATCCTGTCTGTAGGAAATTCTTCATCCAGTTCCATGATCTCCCTTTGAAATTAAAGAGCAAGTCACCCCCAAACCAACTATTTATTTCTGATAAACTATATAAATGCGTGTCTAATCGTGCTGCAGACACGTGTAGTCAATGGTTTTGCACTTTAGTGCATTTTAGTTAAAGTTGAAATCTTCTGCCTAAAACTGTCAGTGTTGTGTCGTTGTCAGGTAGAAACTCTGCACCGCATTTGAATTTAAATCTGCCATCGCTATTGGCTAAGAGGTACCCTAGAACGTTAGCTGGTACCATATGATGTCACAATGTTGTTGTGAGCGTGTGTGTGTGTGTGTGTGTGTGTGTGTATTTGGTAGCGGCTCCGCCCTCTCGGTCTGCTAGGCAACAGCATTTGTTGCACTTTTCAAACAGAAAGTGGGAGTGGAGTAATACTCTGGTAGGGGGTGACTTGCTCTTTAAAGGTATAGCAAAGAGTCTTTTTTCTTCCGGGTGGTCTGTTGGGTCCATTGTTTTGCTCACATAAATTTGCGTTTTTTAACCGCGAATAAATAATAGCACCTTAAAATGAAAATGATCAGCTTATTACTACTGTGGAAAGAACAAACAGGATTTATTATCTCCAGTATGCTGGTGGAGCTTCTCAGTCATCCAGGTCACGGTAAACCAAAGGGTTCAAATGAAGTCCCGTTGCCTTCATTTGAACCCGTTGGATTATAATCTCCAGTCTTTTAGTGAATTGTCTCCCCATCTTCAAATCCTAGTCACTGCTAAGGTATATAGATACGATGTTATCTTGAAATGTGTCTCACTGTTCGGTTTGTTTTACGCAGTTTTTTTTGGTCGTATCTTGTATCTCTGTTCATCACTTTGATCAGCTGTCATGCTATTTTGTTACAAAAATAAACTTAGTATGGTGCAGTATATTGTTGTTTTAAGTAGTTCATCACTGTGAAAACAGACAGAATTTCATGATTGTTAAAACACATAAACTTTAGTTTCCTATCACTACATGGCAACCCACAGAATCTCAAACTGCAGTAACCAAATCTGACCACAGGACGTCACTATTACTCAATTCTTACATAGTTTACCTTTAAGCTGCCTGGCCTCACCTCGGATAACTGCTGCTACCTGATTATTCCGTCCTGTGTCTGTAGAAAACTGCATTCTTCAGTAGGTTGTATGCATTTAGTGAACTATTCCTGAAGGATCCGAGGCATTCCCCGGTCACAGAGAATATACAATCCCTCCAGCAAGTTCTGGATCAGTCCTGGGATCTCCTCTCAGTGGGATATGGTGGGAAAGCATCTGACTGAATACGCTACAGCAGCAGGCACAGTCCTCTCTTTATGCGCCCCCAAGTCCTCTCATAGCTACCAGCATATCTCAACGAATGAAGTTTAAAGCGTGACACACATTATATGTCCTCACCTGTCAGCATGCTCTCATTCACAACACAGGTTCCCTGGAAAAGGACAGCGTCACAGGGCATCACCATCCCATTGGCTGGAACAGCAATGACATCACCGGGTACAAGCTCTGTTGACATGGCCTGTTCGATATCTGGGGTGAACGTAACAGAAGAAGGGAAACAAGTTGTATTCTGAAAAAATCTGGTATACTTGGGTCTGAAGAGGAGCGATGTGTGATGATGAACAGAATTTACTCTCGCCTTTATCTCCTCTGCACACGGAGACACGGACCACGCTGTGGGCGGCCACCATGTCATGCAGCATCACATATTGCTGAAAGGAGAAAGCTGCTGACTCAGACGGGAAGGAAAGCGTGTCTGGTGACACATCGAACGATCTCATGGTGAACCCATCAGATTGTCTAATGACTTGTGGAGAAACAAGAGAATTCTGCTCTGCAGATGCAGAACATCCAATAATAGTCTCATGTGGTCAGGTGTGACTCACCTTTCTAATGTTATACAAGGAGGTAGCTATTGATACGACAGACATGAAAACGATGGCCGTGGCATAGTAGTAGTAATCTTCAGCACTCCACAAAATGACACTGAAGAGCTGAAAGATGTAAAAAGGGTTCAACACCTGATGGGAGGCAAACAGACACCTTAAGGAGCAGAACTGGTTGGTAAAAGAAACTTCCAGAGCAGACGTCTGACTCACCTCCTTAATGAGGAGCTGAAACAGAGAGGGAACTCTGACAGCGATCTCATTCTCCCCAAAAAACAACCTCCTGAAACGATCCCAGACAACGAGTTCACAACCAGACGCTTCCTTGGCTTTTCTAACCAGTAAAACCCGGAGAAGTGCTGCGGTACCTAAAGTCCTGCAGGGTTTTGGAGAGTCCAGAGCTGTGTTCAGAGTGGATGCATGCACAGCTTACCCTCACATCCTCCAGCCCTCTGGAAACAAGACAGGGTTTTCATTTCAACTGCAGTCACACTGGTTCATACTGTTTACAACTAACTCATAATTCACCCCGAAATCTTCATTTTATTAGCCGTTAGTCTTCCTTAAAGCCGATCAAACAAGACTTAAAATGTATAAAATGCCAAACATGCAATAGTTTTAAACTAAAACCACGGACAGGTCGCATCGATTGTCGCTCCCACAGAGTCCGAATATTATTTGATGTTTTTTAGGTGCATTTTTGTGAATTACCTTCTTTTGCTCTGAGTGTTCGTTGCGCTTCTGGAACGGTTGATTTGGACAATAATGATTTTGCGAAAAGCTGGTAAGACACCAGTGATTTTTAGTCCACCTCGCAGCATGTTACCGCCTCGTGATGCAACCGCACGCCAACCAGGACTATCCGACACACCGTCTGCTGAAAAGTTTCATGAAGGCTGAACTCCTACCTGAGATTCGGGGGAAACTGAACTCATTCGCTGCTGCATTTACCACTGTTTTTGCTGTTTTTTAAGAGTCACAGAACGTTGCGCGCTAGGATGATGTCGACAAAGCGGAGGCTCACCTCTTACATCAGGAAGAATTCGCACGTCGTTGTAAAATTGTGATCGGCAGAAGCTTTTCCGGTTTGTGCCTCACTTTTTTTTTTTACAGGAATGGCCCAAAACGATCTCCTAACACATGGACTTTCTGCTTCCCGATCACATGACGTACGCGGATGAAGATCGACTTTAGAGCTGAGATGTTTGATCTCACGGTGTGGGGGCTCGTCCGACGCCCACACAATAAAAAAATGCAAGTGACGACTTTAGTCGTCATTGGCAGTGAATGAGTTAATGGACGATATTGTTCATCTCCTAGCTAAAATGGAGGTCATGTGAAAGGAGGTGGCTGCGTTGGAAAACAAATGTGAGATTTCGAGTCCAGGTCCCGCAGCGATAACATACGCATCATTGGGGTGCCGGAGGACAACTGCTGCAGACGTCTCTACGTTCCACATGAAGGCCTTTCAGCTTGAGATGAACTGCTGGTGGACAGGTTTTATTGGTCGTTGGCTCCCAGACTTTCCGCGCCATGATTGTTTGGTTACATTACCACGTGGACAGTCAAGATTCTACAGAAAGTCAGGGGCTGCAACAAACACGGATACACAATCTGGTCATCTCTGTCGTCCCTGACCACACTACCAAAATCGCCCGGGCTTGTGCAGCTTTCAATAACATTCTGCACCAACTTTGAAGCACTGAAGGACCTTGGTTTGGTTTTTTTCATCAAGCTAAGCTTTGCATCACATTCCAAAGAGTACAACATGATTTGCCCATCTTTGTTTACCTTATTATGGAGGACAACGCGGGCTTGTTAAACTCCACCCACAAGCTGAGAGACTTCTACTTTCCTGAGAAGTCTGTCGGATTTATATGTGAACACTATTTCAATTCAATTCAATTCAAGTTTATTTATATAGCGCCAAATCACGACAAGAGTCGTGTACAGTCGGTAAAGACGGCTCTCCCTTGCCCTGCCTCCAACATGCCTCCATCTAAAAGGCTAGGTTATCCAGAGTTATCTCTGTAGTTATGCTGCTATAGGCTCAACCAGCTGGAGGATACACTGACCACTTTCCACACTCGACTGCTTTCTTCTACAGTCTGCTCTTTAACTGTATTATTTCCTGCTATTTCAGCTGTTAACTTTATTTTCTCTCTAAGTGTTTTTCTCCCCAGAAGAAGCTACAACGATGTTCTGCTGAGCTGTGGTGGCCTCATGGAGGGGGCCGTCATCTAGCACACTGCTGCTAACCACTTAAACATTCTCCCTCTCCTGATAATAACTTTTTACTCTCTTTGACGTTGGATGTGCTACTACTAGTTTACCCGTTTAATTATAGATCCACTAGGATAAATACAATAAAGTTTATCTCTCACCTAATAGAATATTTACTAAGACATCACAATGTAACCATAGAAACACTACTTGGGGTGTGTGTGTGTGTGTGTGTGTGTGTGTGTGTGTGTGTGTGTGTGTGTGTGTGTGCGTGTGTGTGTGTGTGTGTGTGTGTGTGTGTGTGTGTGCGCGTGCGTGCGTGCGTGCGTGTGTGTGTGTGTGTGTGTGTGTGTGTGCTCTGTCTTCTCGATCCCCAGTGAGTCGTGCAGGATGGCTGCTTATACTGAGCCAGGAGGTTTCTTCCTGTTAAAAGGGAGTTTTCCTCTCCACTGTCGCTAAATGCTTGCTTAGTAAGAGGACTAAGTAAGAGGGGGTTATGTGAGAGACACTAATTGTATAATCAAGTGTGTAATTTGATCGTTTGTAAATCAAACTGAGTTATGCACTCAGGTAGATCATTTGGTGAAGCATCTTCATTAGGTTGACATCAAAAGTTAACGACGACATTTCAAAGAGTTTTAATCTCATCTGGTGTTGAGAACATCCACACATACAGTCTACACTAGTGGTTCCCAAACCTTTCAGCTTCAGACCCACAAAATACAAATCATGAAGACACGTGCCCTCAGATCTCACTGATGTGACAATAAAACATGAATAAAAGGCTAAACAATTAAGCTCATATTCACTTATATCCATGTATGACAACTTCGTTGAGGTTTTGTAACAATTATGCTAGAGACATAGCTTCAGCAATTGTTCCTTGAATTTTATTTCCAAACTCTGGACCCCCTGTGTAGTCCTTGGTGATCCATTTTGGGGTCCTGACGGCAACTTTGGGAACCACTGATCTAGACCAGGGGTGCTACATCCTGGTTCTGGAGAGCCACTATCCAGCAACTTTGAGTTGTTTTCTGACCTACCACACCTGGTTTTGTTCAGATAAACAACAAGTGTCTGCAGAGCTTGAATCTTTCAAGGCAGTTTTTTAGTAGAAAACCTGCTACATACTGTTTTACGTGAAGTGGAGGACTTACTGATATAATTCAAAGTTCTGCATCACATCGTTCCAGTAGTACTTAGCACTGTGGTGTGTGAAGTATTTAATCTAAAAGCAGAGAGAATGCGGGGGTGATCAGATGTAAACAGACTTCAAACACATCTTTAACCTGAAGACTACACTCCTATAGCTCCAGCTCCTACCTGAACTTGCTGATGTTTAGGGAGCTTTTCATGATGAACTTGGTCTTCAGAGCACATTTGGTAGTCTACTTCTTTATTTGGAAACGGAGTCTTTGACAGCAGATCCAAATCGCTGAAGGGTGTGACCCCAGGCGCCTGAAGGACTTGCACTTTAACTCTGAACCACTGCTTAAACTCATCCTGTGATCATCACATGAGAAAAGGTTTCAACAGCAAATGTATAAAAACAAGTCTGGGAAATGAACGTTAAAGCACCGAGGCATGTTTTCCTACCGTTGTTCTGAGCAGCAGCATTTGAGCATCCCTCAGCGAGGTGTGTGTGCATGTGCCTTTGACTTCCCATTCAGGCAACCAGTAGAGCAGCAGCAGTAAAAAACCCCCAGAGCAAACAGCCCCCACACCCACCAGGACCATCTTCCACAGACAGGGGCGGTATCCCCATACCTCCTGCACAAAAGCATGCTCATGTTAAATCATCCACAGGCTGGACTCTCAGAACAGTACAGTACCGAAACATCCTCCCAGAAGAACTCCTCTCATAAAAAAAAAAGCGTTTCACACAAGAAATAAAATTATTAGATTAAAATTGCTGTTCTCTGATAACGTCAATTTAAATAATCATCAGAAGCTTGCAGAAACCTTTGTTTTTTTGCATCCTATAATTTTGCCACTTAGAAGCGATATAGATTTATTTTAACGCTGACAAATTTAGCCTTTTTCAAATGTAAAATAACTAATTAATGTTAATTCATGTCCATAATTCTGCTTTGGAATAAGCCGAACAATAGCTTTAATTTAGTAGTCCCTATTGACTCCTTATTGAGCCTATGGGTGGATTATTTTACAGAGCAACTGCACACCATCAGAAAACGTAACTGCACCCTGAGTCAAGATTTGAAAAATGCTATGAAAGTGGTCGTTGCCAGGAGGCAGGAGCGGCATGGCCAAGTCTGGGGAATTTCTAATTTGGATGTCATCTGCATAAAGATGGTAGGAGATTCCTTTAAAAGGAGCTCAGGTAGTGCTGAAGAGGAAGCAGATAGAGGAGGAAGAGCAGAGGCCCCAGCACAGAACCTTGTGGGACACCATGGGTAAGGGAGGTGGTGGAGGACCTAAACTTGGAGATGGCCACAGAAAAGGAGCGCTCAGAGAGATAAGAGGAGAACCACTCCAGAGCAGTTCTTGATAGGCCTACCCAGTCTCTCAGCCTCTCCAGTAGCAGGTGATGGTCAACAGTGTCAAAGGCTGCAGTCAGGTCCAGCAGGACCAGAACAGAACAGTCCCCTGCATCACAGTGAGTCAGAAGGTCATTAGAGACCCTAAGAAGAGCTGTTTCAGTAGAATGAGCTCTACGAAAACCTGACTGGAAGCTATCATAGATGTTATGTTCATCAAGAGCAGCTGTGAGTTGTTTAGCCACAACCTTTTCCAAGATCTTGGAGATGAACGGAAGTTTAGAGATGGGTCTGAAGCTGCTGTGACAGTGTGAGCATCCTGTCACAGTGTCCCGACTGATCATGCGCCCTGGCTACTTGGCCAAGGGGATGTCCCTTTGGCTGACTGGTTAGAGCGTATGACTCTCACCCGGGTGTCTGGGGATCGAATCCTGCCCGGGCTCTCGTTTATCCACCTTGCCACACTGCTATGGAGAGAGGGGTCGAGACTCTGTTTTTTAAGAAGCGGGTGGATTATAGCGTTCTTAAAGTAAGCAGGGACCTGACCAGAGACCAGAGAAGCATTAATTATAGAGAGCACGCTGGGACCGATGGACTGAAAAGCACTTTTAAACAAAGATGAGGGTAAGATGTGGAGGGGGCATGCAGAGGTCTTCATAGAGTTAACTAGTTTGGTTAACTCAGGCAAAGAAACAGGAGCAAAGCTATCTAGGATGATGGGCCTGGTTGGAGTCGGGAGAGGCGGCGATAAGGCTGAAGGAGAGATGCTAGATCTAACCTTATTGACTTTGTCCACAAAGAAAGACAGAAAGTTCTCACAGTCTGCAACAGAGTGGATGGAGGCTGTAGGAGAGGCAGGAGAGACGATGCTGCTGATGGTGTTAAACAGCACCTTGGGGTTCCCTCTGCTCTGGGACACCAGGTTGGAGAAATAGGAAACACTCGTGTCTCTGACTGCAGAGTTAAAGGATGTCAGAAGATCCTTTAGGTGCAGCAGATGGACGTGGAGATGGGTTTCCTGCCACAAACGCTCAATTTTTCTGCATTGTCAAAATGCCACCCAGAGCATGGAGACCCCAGCCCATCTTCCCAGGACCCAAAGCAGCAGCATCACAGAGCCTCACGGAGTCCGAAGCCACCAACCCAGCCCCACCCCAGCAGAATATCTACACCCATCCCTGCATTTGCACAACTTCCGGACTATAAAAGACATAGGACATCCAGGTAAGGATGGGTCCTCCCCCTCCTGGACTTCCCCCTCCCCTGTGATGGGACAGCAGAGGAGCCAAGGTCTACCCGAGGCCCCTGAACCCGTGTCAGGCACCACTGCATGTTCCTGCCCTCTCCCCGGCAGCATACATGTCAGGACCCGACCCCCAAGGCCCCACCCAGATCCCCCCACGGGGCCGGCCACACCACACCCCGAGACCCCAGGCCCCCACCCAGACCCGCCATGGGGCAATGCAGCCGCCGGGTAGTAACCCATGGCCACCGCCAAGACCTCCAAGGGGCCCCACTCACACCACCAGCAGTCCACCCCCCGAGGCAACCCAAGCACCTCCAGAGGGGGGCAACAGCCCCCCAGTACCAGACACCCCCAGTGAACCCACCTCCAAGGAACGTCCAGATACTCCAAACTCAGACCCTCCACCCCCCCACCCACATCATCCCGCAGGACAATATCAATGGTCCCCCGTCATCGCTATGTGATGGAACCGATCAAAGGAGCCCAGAGAGACTGATTTGAAGTGGAAGCAGAGGATATATCAAGTGTAATATGATCTAACTAAAGATTTCTATACTGGTTGATGCAAAGAGTTTCTCTATTTTTCCAATTCAAGAGGATAGTTTTCTTAGTGATGCATATGGCAGTCAAAACCATGTGAGCCAAAGATGTTTCAATCAGGACATCGTCCAGGTTTCCCAGTAAACAAAGAGAGGGGGTGGTTAGGATATGACATTTAAGACACTTTGACAGGTCTTCAATACTCTACCCCAAAATTCCTGGACAGGTGGACAGGACCACAGTGCATGAATGTAATTGTCAGGTTTTTAGAGAATTAGATCATTGAGCAGGAAGGACTTATTGTTAACAGAGCGGGTATTTAATAGAGCCATGCTGAGTGAGGTGGAGGAATCAGAAACTACAGAAACAGCTGGAGTTAGTGGACGTAAATTAGCAGGGTTAGATCCACGGTGTTTATAAAAACCACTCATGGAGGGAACAGGAGAAGCCACTGAAGAATGAGGAAAAAAAGATCTTGGAAAACTTGGACGGAGAAACCGCACCGCAACGTGGCCTGGCGGCAATGCGGAAGTGGCGCTCAAGTTGCCAAACAAAGGACAAGAAGCTAGAGGATCACACCAATGTTTACTAGACAAGCCACGCTTTAAGAGAAGTCTTATTCTCACCTGGATTCCTGCTCGTTTACCTCTTTTCCTCCGACATTTTCCCTGGACCGTATAAACATCGCTGGAGGCGCCCTGGTTGGAATTGTTGTTTGGCTCCGGGCCAGTGCGCCGCTCAGGTAAACAAACAGGGAGGTACGTCCTCAGTGCATCCTGGGCGATCATGAACGAACGGAAGGACAAAAGAGTCTGGCAGTCATAGGAGATGGTAGCAGGGATGCTACTGAAGAGGATCGCAGACAGGAGCAAGGTGGAAAAGGGGAGGTTAGTGGAGAAAAGTTTGAAAAAGTGGCCGGTGACCGCGGCTAAGCCAAGCACAGGCGCCATCTTGTTACTGACCGGAAGCGGAAGAGCGGAAGAAAGGGTCTGCAAACTCTCCTGTTCACATAACCTCACCCCCTGAGAATTGTAGCCGAGCCAATCAGCACTGAGTATCGTACATCACACACCATAACGCCGAGTTAGTCATAAACATGGCAACTGAAGCGGAGTTCACTGCGGCTCTTTCCTCTGGTCTAAATGACTTCAATGTCTTTAAAACCAAAAGAAGTGCTAAAAGCCTTTCTTCTTAAAAAAAAAAAGATGTTTGCGCCGTTGCCACACGCCTTTTCTTACTACAGATAAAAAACTGCCTGCGAGTTACCAGACTCTCTCTGTGCAGAATTAAACAGAGGACGAGTCTGGCAGGCCAGGCTTTGAAATTGTTCCAGCCCCAGTTTAAAATGCAGTAGCCACAGTTCAACCCACAGGGGAAAGCACTAAGACGTTTGTGGACCTAGATTCTTGATTTAATCAGTTTTACACACACGTCAAAAAATGCATTGAAACAGAAAGATTACATTTGTAAAGACCCAGTTATACAGTTTATATGCAAAACAAGTTATTTTGGGGTTTAGTTACTCTTTAAGTTGAAGAGCAGATTTCCAGTATTTCGGCATTACACTCACCTAAAGGATCATTAGGAACACCTGTTCAACTTCTCCTAAAAGCAATTATCTAATCAACCAATAGCATGGCAGTTGCTTCAGTGCATTTAGGGGTGTGGTCCTGGTCAGGACAATCTCCTGAACTCCAAACTGAAGGCCAGAATGGGAAAGAAAGGTGACTGAAGATATTTTGAGCGTGGCGTGGTTGTTGGTGCCAGACGGGCCGGTCTAATATATAACCCGTGTTAGCGAAGGAAATTCAGATGAGCCACAGAACTGCGTGTGTTATCGGGACGGTAATTCAAACTCCTGCTGACTTTATTTGCACGCATCAAATTGAAATCACTAACACTAGCATACGAAGTCCTGGGTGGTATGGCTCCCATCTACCTGAATCCCCTTGCAACGGTCATCAAAGGATCTTCAGCTAGCAGTGCCTACACCACGCTCAGGACAATCCAGACTCTTTTTAAGTGTCGATCCCCAGATGTGGAGCGACCTACCAAGCACTACCAGGTACGACAAGAACCTTGTCTGCTGGTGGTGGTCAGAGGGAGCTGTGGCGCCAGTGTTCAGCAGGCCTCGTCTCTGTTAGCGCACCCAGGGCAGCTGTGGCTACATCGTAGCTCGTGTGAATGGGTGAATGACTGATGGTGTGGTGAAACTGAACGTGTGCATGCAGCAGAACCTATGACAGCCATTGGGACTGCTCCATTTCCACCTAGGAAGCGTTTGAAGTCTCTTGTGTGGGAATAAACCTAAAATATCTGAAATATTCCCACCCAGCAGTTGTGAAGCACCTTGGGGGGTTGTAGAACCCCAACAAATACAGGCCTAACCCTAACCCACTTACCCTTTTATCCAAAGCTGTACCTTTAAAACCATGCAACATGCGTTTCATGTGACACTTGACACTACAAAATCTAACAGCCAAGCTACTAGAACTAAACTATAATACTAGAAGTTTTGCTGGGACTCTGACTCAACGCTAATGCTAACAACAGCACAACTCACTTGAAGCTCGGCGGCTAATCTGAGCCCCGACTGCTACAAGGCTGGTTGAGACCGGTTGAGACCGGTTGAGACCGCGGTGCTTTTATAAGCTACAGCCACAGATGCTACGTAGTACTTTTCTGAAATATGTAGCATTGTTCTCGTTAGCCATTGGCTAAAACCGACTCAAAATAAATGTGTTTTATACTTTTGAGCTGAAGAGGGCGCTAGACTGACGTTTTTAGACAGAATTTAGAGTTTTCAAAGAAAACGCATCAAAATGCAAAAATAATAACTACACACGTCTGCAACACTATTAGACACTCATCTATACAGGTTATCAGCACCAAAAAAAAAAAAGTTAATTTAGGCGTTACTTGCTCTTTAAACACTGCCTTGGGTGCTTGGGCAAATAAATAAATGAATAAGAAGTTATTTTTACCATCTCTTCCTCCAGATCCTGGTTTAATAACTTCCTCTCTTCACTTTCCCCCATTCTGTCAACACATACGCTGAAAGAAAATACACACATTTAACAAACCAAATCAAGTCTTACTTTGAACGTTTCCTCGACGAAAACAATGAGCCTTCAACACTGATTGATCAGTAGTTAAACAAACCTTGACCAAGAGCATAAAGAGTTCAGTTTTACGACTCCAACAACAATCAACTCCCTTGTTCCGCGCTGGAAAACAGAAAAAACGTAACGCTGAAAAATCCCTAAAGTAGTGAGGGTCAGACACAAACAGGATATTTTACCTGCAGGATCGACAGAGCAGCACAGCATCTTTCCACTCCGACTCGCTGTCCTGCTGACGCTTTAGATTCGGTTTTTATTGACAGAGTTTCACAACTCTTACGATCAGTGTGACTGTGGAAGTGTTCTAATCGATGATCCAGTGCAGGACGGGCCATAATACATAGAAACCTTTGCCCCATGCACACATGTTAACGTTCAATAGGAGTCACACCTTTGGGGCATAATAAAAAATATCAACACCTACAAGCTAAATGTTGTAGTTTTTATGGTATCATAGAAAACATTCCTATTTCTGGAGCTGAGGACTGGAGATGAGTTGTGAAAGTTTTCTCAAAGAAAAAAGACCTGAGGCAGGTCTTCAAAATAAAAAACAAAAAAAAAGTGCCATTTAGGAGAGCGGGGGTGATATTAGTTAGCTTCTTAAGGGTACAAGAAATAGCTTCTAGGTCGCTTCTGTTTACAGCTTTGGCTCTTTCCGAAGCGCTGCTGCATTTATCTGACCAGTGCTGAATTACAAATGTCGGTGGTGCAGCGTTAGCATCGCGCAGACTGGTCAACCCCACGGGCTCTCAGGGAGTTGAAGAAGAAACCAACTTTTTTATAACGCCTCCGAAGATAAAAATCACGGCATGCTTCACATGAACAAAAATGTCAAAATAAAAATCATTTAAAAATCATGAAAATAGGAAAAGTAAAAATTGTGACTAAAAATGTGAGGAAAGGGAAACACCGAAGGTCTCAGTCATCCACACATGTTCCTCTTCCACTAATGACTCTACCCAGTAAATGAATGTTTCTGTAGTAAATCATCTGTGAACATGATAGAATGGTTATCGTGTTTTTGTAATCACAATTTTATCTCTTCCCATTTGTATTGTTTTTAATCTTTTTATTAGTAGTATTTTTATTTATTTTATGACATCATATTTGTGTCTTTGTGAAGCACCTCGTGACTCTGCTTGAGACGTGTTAGATGAAAGAACGTTTCTGTATTAATTATTAATTAATATTAGGGATTCATCAGAGCTCCTCTCTGGAGAAAACGCGCTGAAAGGAGATCCGCCTGGAGCGTTGCTGGGATTTGGGATCCTTTGTGGAGCGACAGATAAACCGCACAAATCCGAGTCCAGTCCAAGTTTTATTTTACAACCCTCAGAACCTTCTCTGCTTCCCCACATACCCGTTTCCATGGTAACCAGACTGAACACAGCCGAGACATTTCCAAATAAAGCGAACTCCAACTAGAACAACTCCTCAGATGTAGATGAGAACCCGTTACGCTACGATTTATCAGATTACAGTTTTTATTTATTCCTGTGTGTGTGTGTGTGTGTGTGTGTGTGTGTGTGTGTGTGTGTGTGTGTGTGTGTGTTAAGGTTGGGTGATATGATCTAAAATTAATATCATGATATATTGAGGATTTCACCTGGATAACGATAACCGGACGATAACTACAGGTATGGGCAGGAACAAAAGTTGTCCACTAGGTGGGGCTGTCACGTGTATTACATTGAGTCACATTTTTATATGACTCAAGGTGGTACAGCATCTTAAAGGGACACGAATGTAGCCAACCTACACACATATCATTTCCTTTATTATCAAATGTATTGACATGAGAACATTTTTCTTGATAAGAGTCAAAAATTTCGATAACGATAAATTTTCGATTTATTGCCCAGGATTAGTGTGTGTGTGTGTGTGTGTGTGTGTGCGTGTGTGCGTGTGTGTGTGTGTGTGTGTGCGTGTGTGCGTGTGTGTGTGTGTGTGTGTGTGTGTGTGTGTGTGTGTGTGTGATTGATTCTTGAAGTACAGCGAGGATACATTGAATTAAGAACTGTGACTAAATGTCAACAGTTTGATAACATTTGGACAAATGCATCGTTTGGTTCAGTGTGGCTGACTCTCTCTCCACTGCAGGAACCTTTTCCTGAGACAAGGCTGGTAACCGGGCAGCTATGGACCACCCTGCTGAGGAGTTTGTGATGCGGAGAGGCTGGAGCAGAATTGTGAGTCTCGCAGATAAATCACAACCACAAATTGGTGCATCTCTTATAAAAAACGGTGACCTACTTAAATAAAAGTCGCACTAACTGAAGCTCACAATCATGCTGTGGCCCTGCAGACCTGAGCCAGCAACAACACGTTCTTCTGGTATTCACGTCTCCTGGGAACCGGAGCTGTTGCACAACCAACTTTCTCTCCAAAAACGCGTTTGGAGCTTGGTTTTTACCAGAATGGAACTCTTGCTGAAGTTTCGCAGACAGACCTAACACAACTCTAACCAACCAGACGTGTCTTAATCCCAAGCAGCGACTCACCACCGTCTCCTTTTTCTGGGTCAGAACAGAACCGAACCCCGATGGAGGTTCGGATGCCCCCTGCGGATCCCACAGCCTGCAGCCCGGACTAATGGGACCACAGACCCCACGGCCGCTGGGCGCAGGAAATGCGGTCGTGCAGGATCGGCTCGGGGTCCTTCAACTGCCGGTGACGTCACATGACTGCAACTCTACTAGGCTTTCACACACACGTTTTCAGCAGTTTTGTTAATAAATTATTGTTTGTTAACACCTAAATGTTTTCTTTATAACTGTAATTTGTTAATAAAACACCGTATTATCTTTGTTTTGTAAAGAATGTGAAACTGCATAAAACCAACATCGGACTGACAAAATATAGAACAGTTCTTAAATGGGAAGCCATATGTGTTGTGGAGTTCATCTGTATATTTCCTTAGTTGTTATCTAAATACATTCTTTGACTCAAAATATTGCTTGGTGTCTTTCAATAAAGTTCCTATGTTTTATTTTGCCCCATTTCATCAACATCAAGAGCTTTTGAGGCTCACCGTTTATCATTTGCTTTTATTTTACATTTCCTTTAGAAATTCAAACATATTTTCCACAAAAAGTGTTGATTTTTGGACTACAGGACTACAACCGCTAAGACTACGACCGCAAGTTTGTTCTGACCAATCAAAATCATAACGTGATAACATAACTTCCGTAAGCTTCATGTTCAGCCAATCAACTACTTTGATGTCATCGGCAGTCGAAGGACCCCGAGCCGATCCTGCACCCGGGCCGATCCTGTACCGACAGCGGCACAAAATTAGCTGGAGGTAGCCGCCACGCTAATTTGAACGCAGGAAAAACCCTGCCAGTTAGGAGACCACTGCAGTAGTCCAGCCGACTAGAAATAAAAGCATGAATACGTTTCTGTAAGCCTGGTCTGGACACGAGACCTCTGACTCTTGATGTTTGATGAAGGTGATAAAACGCTGATTTAGTTACAGCCTTAATATGTCCAGAGAAGCTCAGGTCTGAGTCAGTAACACCAAGATTTCCAACCTGGGTCTTTGTCTTTATTCCCCTGGAGTCTAGCTGAGCAATAACATCCGTCCTATCCTTCTTGTTGCCAAAGACAATAACTTCAGTCTTGTCTTTGTTTAGCTGAAGGAAGTTAGACTGCATCCAGTCGTTTACGTGTTCTAGACACTGACAGAGTGAGTCCAGTGGCTGACAGTCACTAGGTGATAAGGCTAGGTAGATCTCGGTGTCATCAGCATAGCTATGATAGGCGATGTTGTTATTAAGTATGATCTGACCCAGGGGGGAGCATATATAGATTAAAGAGCAGTGGTCCTAGAATTGAGCCTTGGGGGACCCCACATGTCGTGGTGATCCGCTTTGATTTGTGATCTCCAATAGAGACAACATAATCCCTGTCTTTGAGATAGGACTGGAACCAGCCAAGCACTGTGCCTGATAGTCCCACCCAGTTTGTGAGTCTGTCCAGAAGGATGTTGTGGCCCACATATCAAAAGCTGCACTGAGGTCAAGCGTCATCAGGACAGATGCTTTACCTGAATCAGTGTTGAGACGAATGTCGTTTAATACCTTGATCAGTGCAGTCTCTGTGCTGTGGTGCTGTCTACAGCCTGACTGAAGACCGTCCATAATGTTATTTGAGTCAAAATAGTTGTTTATTTGGATCATTACCACCATTTCAATGATTTTTCCATCAGAGGGAGATAGAGATCAGTCAGTAATTACTGTGTAACTACACTGAGGGATCTAGTTTCCTCTTCGTTAGAAGGGTTTCACAACAGCAGTTTTCAGTGATGAATTCCTGACATTAAGGAGCAGTTAACAGTTTCCAGCACCTCAGCTTTGAGGCAACTAAAAACATTTTTAAAGAAGCTTGTAGGCAGGCTGTCCAGACAGCAGGTAGAGGCATTTAGGGCCTTTACTACGTCATTCAGTGTTTTAGTACTAATCGGGGTGAAAGTTGGCACTCTGGCCATGTTGTTGCTGCGTGGTTGTGTCAGTGGTCTGGTTGTGTTCGCTGATGGAGAGGAATGAATGGCTGATCTGATGTTTGTGATTGTGAGGGATCAAGCCGAATGAGTGGAGGAACGCAGGCAATTTCCAAAAATAGACTCTTTAATTTCCGTTTTGTTTTAAAATGTCCTCACAAAAACAACTCGAGCTCATAAAAGAGGTCAAACAAACAAACTGAACCTCAATAAACTTCTAACTTAACATACTGACTGACTGAAACAATAACCGACCTCCCAAACAAAGACACACAAGGGTATATATACACATTGGCTGATCAGACCATATGAACAATAGGGATTACTAGACAAACATTTACTAACTAAAACTAAAACCACAAATCAGTACAGTCAGATTGTTAATAAACCTAAACATCCTAACCCATAAACCTAACTATTTAACTTCAAACTTAAATTAATTAACAAATGACAAAATAATAAATTAAAGGAAATTCTTCAGTCCCCTCTTCAGGGAGCTATTGGTTTGGTCCCATCAGCTCCTCCTGTATTTAGCTGACAGAACCCCTTCAACCCTGTTTGCCTGTCCCATCTCAGGAAGCAGGAAGTGGAGAACCCCAGCACCGGTAAGAGAAAACAAATCAACTTAAATTGAACAAATGAAAGGCATAAAATACAGCAGTTAACTAAATGTGCGCGCTTACAATTAGAACTAATGCATTTAAGCCATCTAAACAATAAAGCCAAAGAAATATAAACATTCAAACTGCAATCATAAAAGTGCAAGAGTGTACTTAACGTTCACCGTTGTGTGGACATGGATGTGGCCATCACATGCCCCCCCACTCAGTTGTCCTCACAGCGTGAGAGGTAGTCGGCTGTGGTATTGTCTCTGCCAGGGATATGTTGAACCTTGAATCTGAATGGTTGCATGGCAAGATACCATCGGGTTATGCGCCCATTAGTATCCTTCATCCTGTTAAGCCATTCGAGAGCCTTATGATCTGTTTGCAGAGTGAATTCTCTCCCCAGCAGATAGTACTTAAAGGAATCCAGAGACCACTTTATGGCCAATGCCTCTTTTTCCACTGTTGCATAGCATCTCTCTCGGGCCAACAGCTTGCAACTGATGTAAGCCACGGGATGCAGCTCCTCTGATGTCCCTTGTAGAAGGACCGCCCCCAAACCCCTCTCAGAAGCATCAGTCCGCAGAATGAAGTCTCTTTGAAAGTCTGGAGAGTACAAGACTGGTTCCACACTCAAGGAATGCTTAATGTCTTGAAAAGCTGCCAGGGCCTCCGCAGTCCACCGGATTTTGTTGGGGCTACATGAGCCCGTCCTATCGGTCAATGGTGCTGCCCTTGCAGAAAAGTTGGGGACGAATCGGTGGTAAAATGAGGCCATCCCAAGGAACGACCGCAACTGCTTCCTAGTCTGTGGAACAGGACATGTTTCGATTGCATGAACTTTATCAACCTGGGGCTTAATAATCCCACCTCCAATGGTGAACCCAAGGTATTGAATCTCCCTCCTGGCCACAGCACACTTTGCGGGGTTGATTGTCAGACCAGCAGCCTGTAAACGCTTCAGAACTTCCTCAAGATGTGCCAT